TGCCCCCGGGCGGCCCTGTACGTTACATATTTAAAAACTGTCAAGCCAGCTCAGAGGCAGAGGGCTCAGCCATCGTCAGGAATGGAACCTTTCGGGTTGGCGGCGGGCATCCTGATTGCCATTGGATTTACTGGGGGGGTGGGCAGATTTTTTCTTTTAATAAAGGACTTGTCAAAGACCGTGCCCTGTCTTTTTTCACACTACACTTTGTTTTTTGTGAATGAGTATTATTATTATTATTATTATTATACAGTATTTATATAGCGCCAAAAAGGTTTGCTCAGCGCTGTACATTATAGTGGGGGACAGAACATGATACAATACAGCAATAAACAATACACGAGGGGTTCAAGGGCCCTGCACTTTCGAGCTTACAATCTAGGAGGGAGGGGATAGTGGCACAGGAGGAAGTGGCTGTGGGGGATGGAGCGGTAGGAGGAGTGGAGGAGATCGGCAGTTAGGTGAGGGTGGGGTAGGCTTCCCTGAAGAGATGGGTTTTCAGGGTGCGCCTAAAGGTGAGGAGGGAAGGTAACAGTCTGATGGATTGGGGTAGTGAGTTCCAGAGGATGGGGGGGGGGGGGGGAGTGCTGGAGAAGTCCTGCAGTCGGGCGTGGGAGGTGGAGACCAGGGAGCTAGAAAGTAGGAGGTCTTGTAAGGAGCGAAGATTACGGGTTGGGTGGTATTTGGGTATCAGGTTGGTGAGGTAGTTTGGGGCAGCGTTATGAATGGCTTTGTATGTCAGTGTTAGTAGTTTGAATTTGATGTGTTGGGCAATCGGGAGCCAATGGAGGCAATGACAGAGGGGGGTGGCAGAAGAGCGGTTGGTAAGGTGGATGAGTCTGGCCGCTGAGTTCAGGATAGACTGAAGCGGGGATAGTCTGTGATGAGGTAGGCCAGTGAGGAAGGAGTTGCAGTAGTCCAGACGTGAGAGAATAAGGGAGTGAACAAGTTGTTTAGTAGTGTCTGGGGTTAGGAACAAACGTATTTTGGAGATGTTGCGGAGGTGGAGCCTGCATGAGTTTGCCAACGATTGGACATGGGGTTGAAAGGACAGGTTTGAATCTAGAGTGACACCTAGGACTTTGGCTTGCGGGGTGGGACTGATGGTGGCGTTGGTGGTCGTGATGGAGAGAGTGGGGGCACGGGCTGGGGGGAAAATTAGGAGCTCGGTTTTGGAAAGGTTCAGTTTGAGGAAGTGGAGCGACATCCAGTCTGATATGTCGTTCAGCAGCTGGGTGATACGGGTGGAGACTGAAGGGGTAAGTTGAGGGGTGGAGAGGTAAATTTGCGTGTCATCGGCGTAGAGGTGATAGTTGAAGCAGTGGGAGTGTATCAGTTTGCCGAGGAAGGAGGTGTAGATGGAGAAGAGAAGGGGTCCGAGGACAGAGCCTTGGGGGACCCCAACAGAGAGGGGGAGAGAGGGGGAGGTGGTAGCGTTATAGGTAATGCTGAAGGAGCGCTGGGAGAGATAGGAGAGCCGGGAGAGATAGGAGAGCCAGGAGAGAGCGGAGTCTCTGATGCCGAGGGAGTGTAGTTTATCAAGGAGGAGGGGGTGGTCAACTGTGTCAAAGGCCGCAGAGAGGTCAAGGAGTAAGAGGAATGAGCAGTGGCCATTAGCTTTGGTGGTTAGCAGGTCATTAGTGATTTTGAGTAGGGCAGTTTCGGTGGAGTGTAGGGGACGGAAGCCAGACTGTAGTGGATCGAGGAGGTTGTTGTCAGTGAGGTGGGCGCTTAGGCGATTGTAGACTAAGTGCTCAAAGAGCTTGGAAGTGAATGGCAGCAGGGAGATGAGTAGCAGTACCAGGTACCATGTACTCCGTACTCATTCACATGGGGGGGGGCAGGATCTGAGGGCTTGTTAAAAGGGGCTTCCAGATTCCAATAAGCCCCCTGCCCGCAGACCGCAGGCCAGGGTTGTGGGGAAGAGGCCCTTGCCCCCATCAACAAGGGGACAAGGAGCTTTGGGGGGGGGGAGCCCCGCCTGCCCCAAAGAACCCCCCCATGCCCCATGTTGAGGGCATGTGGCTTGGTATGGTTCAGGAGGATTTTTTTATTTTAATTTGGGCATGGGAGTTCCCCTACAATACCATTCCAGAACCAAAGGGCTTGGTATGGATGGAAGGAGGAACCCCACGTCGTTTTTTAAAATACATTTTTTAATTGCCCGCAATTCTTTTACATTCAGCTGTCAGCTGGGAACCCCGCTGACAGCTGAAACATTAACACACGGTTGTCACTAATAAAATACCGCATGACTTAATAAAAATAACTCATGCGGTATTTTAATAGCGTTTACTTTTTTATGACCTCCGGAATGGATTAATTGGTTTTCAATGGATTCCTATAGGAAACGGTGTTTCGGTTTACGAAATTTTCGCTATAGGAAAAGTCCAGCAGAACGAATTAAATTCGTAAACCGAGGTATTACTGTACCTATGTAATGCCAGCTATATAGATAGGGGTTAAGTCTCCCTCTAGTGGAATTCAGAGGTACTGTGAGCAGAACAGTGACAGCTGTATCGCTGCTGGTTTTACTCAAATTAAGCCTCATTTTCATTCCTCTTCCTTTGAAGTCCTCACCCAAGTCATCTAGTTGCCAAAGGCCCACCCTCTTGACATCTTTTGGCAGTCATGGGATATTAAAGTGTGCTTGCTGTATGTCTGTAACTTGTGTCTGGACCAGGGAAGTCAGGGTTCTCGGGACAATCTGCCAGCATTTAACAAGTGGTGATATCGCTCCTCTGGCTTTCAAAGCATCTGATCAAGCTGAGATTGGTTTGATCAGATGCTTTCACAAGCTGGTTTACATAAAACCGGAACTGGAAGTGACAAAATCCTCGTCGCTTCCGGTTTCTGACATCACACAGTGGGAGGAACAACATCAGTTCCTCTCACTGTGTCCCAGGAAGCAGATGCCACCAGTTGCAGACTTACCAGTAAAGGCAGTGAGGGGAAGCCACCTGTAAAAGTAATCAGGCAGCTCTATAGCCACCAGGATAACTTTTACATTGATGATATATTGGTCATTGCTGCAGCAATTCCCAAGATATCACCCTTTCCATCCAAGGATGTATCGGTACGTCCTATAGATGGGAAGTGATAATGCACGCTTTAGCTCCTGTTTTTAAATGTCGATTTCAACAGTAGTGATGAAGCAAGCCTGCTAGCACCTTGCTTAAAATGGCAATCAGCGCTCCCATTTGGATGGGTGTTCAACATTTGCAAACTGAAGCTGAATGGTACTTTAAGGCCTCGTTAAGACTTGTTTTGCTGTTTTATGCATCATCAGTGTTCATATCAGATAGCAATCCCCTAATTACTGGACAACAGTGCCACAACCTTGTGAGTTGGACGGTTGCAATGCGGCTCCACTCACTTGAATGGGTTACACTGGGTGGGCATTACCACCTACTGAGCACAATGGGGCATAATACCTGCCATTGCAGCAAATCAAAGCACTAAGCATGTTTATAGTCCTGACCGCTGCCTCAGCAGCAATAGGTGGAGCAACTGAGGGGCAGTAAAAATGCTGCTCAACCACAGGTTTACTGGCCTTCAGTCGCAAGTGTAAACAAGCTCTAAAAGCTTCAACAAATCTTCCTGAAAGCTCCGCAAATGCTTTGTAAAAGCTGACTGTTCACACTGTCCTAATACAAGTTTAAGTCTGTGTGAAACAGGTCTAAGGGCTTACAAACACTTAAATGATTTGACCATTTACAAATGTACTGATTAATCATGGACTGATTTCCTTGAAAGTACTTCAATAGATGCCTCTGTTCTTGGCACGTTGTAAAACAACTGGGTTTACTATTCTGCCATCCTATACTCAAAGTAATACTGATTGTCCAGGTGAGTCCTAGTAAAATACTGTATATGGAATATTTACCAGAAATGATATCTCACAGCCTGATCTGCCTTTAGGCATACAATATCCTTATCAAATAAGCATAGATTGCTAAAGGTTTGATATTGGACCCTATTCATTATAAAGAGTGGTATCTGCTCTCCAGATGACATTGTAAAAATTACTTAAAGGGTTAGTTCACATTTATTAAAAACTGCCTATGAAGTTAAGGGCGCCTGTAGAAAAAAAAAACAAACTGCAGTTTTGACCAAGGTTTAAATATCTTTGCTATTCGTGAAGGCCATTTACGTACCTCATGAAGCCTGGCTAAAAAAAAAAACTCCATAGATGGCCTCATCCCATCCTGCCAAGACACTTCCTGCTTATTCAAACACCTTCGCACTCATCCTCTCTTCCCTGTTGTATTATCTGTGAGTTCAGAAATGTTTCAACGGAGGAGAAAGGACCACAATTGTGCTGGGGTTTGAGAGCTCACTTCTGTGATGATGGGGGTTAATGGCTGGGAGTGTTTTAACAACACCCAGTTCCGTGGCCAGACTGAAGCTACAGATTTTGTTTTTATCTACAGGTGCCCCTTAACTGCATAGGCAGTTTTTTGGTATAGGTGAACTAACCCTTTAACACTACACTTGCAACTTGAGCTGTAATTATAAAATACAGTGCAAGTAGTAGAGCCTGGGCTGTCTTTCACTGTGTGTTCTCTGCACAAGGCTACAGAGAACATTCAGATATAGGAGCCATATCACATTTAAATGTCAGTTGAGATAGGTTTCCTCCTCCCCCTGACACCTTTCCCCCCCATTCATTAGAATGAATAGACCTTTCCTGCTTCATAGGTTGAAAAGCACATTTGTAAAGCACACAGCTGGGCTTTAAAAATATGCAAGAGGGTTGTTTTCCTTTAAAAAGCAGAGGCATGACTGCTGTTAGGTCATACTGCTAATTTGTTAAATTGGCCCCATAATTATTGGAGACAAAAGCCTATTTTAAATATTCTTCTGTTGTGCTAGCACATGGATAGAATGTGCCAGTATGTGTAATTCCTAAGGGATAAGCCTCATCTAATTTTCAATCAAATTAGGTTTAGTCAATGATTTTAATCTAAATTGAAAACATTAAAACACATTTAACATACCTGATTTGCAAAATGTTCAACATCAAGAGCTAGTTGAAGTCTTATTTTGTTGTCATCACTAACGCCTCCATTTGTGCTATTACTGGAGAAAGCAGTTTTACGTGCTTGTTTGAGCCTCTTAAGACTATCTTCCATTTTTTTTACCGAACTTAGAACATCAGATACCGTTTCATAGTACCTAGAAATAATGCCAAAACCTTTAAAAACACATTTAAAAGAACTGTACAAAGTAATGTAAAACAACGTATAGATGTGAAACAAAAAGTATTATTATACAGTATTTATAAAGTGCCAATATTTCACTCAGCACTGTACATTACAAAGGGGGACAGAACATGTGACAGAACAATAACAATACAATGCAAAACATTGGGTTCGAGGGCCCTGTTCTTTCGAGCTAACAATCTCGGAGGGAGGGGATGGTGGCACAGGAGGAGAAAGCTGTGGGGGATGGAGTGGTAGGAAGAGTGGAGGTCAGCAAGTTAGCAGGGGGTGGGGTAGCCTTCCCTGAAGAGGTGGGTTTTCAGGGTGCGCCTAAAGGAGAGGAGAGTAGGTGATAATCTGATGGGTTGGGGCAGGGAGTTCCAGAGGCTGGGTGACACCCTGGAGAAGTCCTGGAGGCGGGCATGGGAGGAGGAGACCAGGGAACTAGAGAGAAGGTCTTGTGAGGAGCGGAGTGTGCGTGCTGGGTGGTACTTGGATATTAAGTCGGAGATGTAGTTCGGGGCAGTATGGTGGACGTCAGTGTTAGGATTTTGAATTTGATCCGTTGCACAATCGGAAGCCAGTGGATGGATTGGCAGAGGGGGGTGGCGTAAACAGAGAGCGGTTGGAAAGGTGAATGAGTCTGGCAGCTGTATTCAGGATCGACTGAAGCGGGGATAGCCAGCGGCGAGGCAAGCCAGTAAGGAGGGAGTTGCAGTAATCGAGTCGTGATATGATGAGGGAGTGGATGAGCTGTTTAGTGGTTTCTGGGGTTAGGAACGTGCATATTTTGGCGATGTTGCGGAGGTGGAGTCTGCATGAGTTTGTTACATTTTGGACTTGGGGCTGGAAGGATAGGTTGGAGTCTAGAATGACACCAAGTACTCTGGCCTGCGGGGCGGGTTTGATGGTGGCGTTGTTGGACTGATGGAGAAGTCAGTGGGGGGTGGGGTCCGGGCTGGGGGGAAGACAAGAACTCGGTTTTTGAGAGGTTCAGTTTAAGGAAGTGGAGCGACATCCAGTCTGATATGTCGCTCAGTAGGTGTGTGATTCGGGCAGAGACTGAGGGGGTGAGGTGGTGGGTTGAGAGATCGATTTGTGTGTCGTCGGCATATAGGTGGTAGTTGAAGCCGTGAGAGTGTATGAGTTGGCCAAGGGAGGAGGTGTAGATAGAGAAGAGAAGGGGCCCAAGGACAGAGCCTTGTGGGACCCCAACAGAGAGGGGGAGGTGGTAGCATTATAGGTAACGCTGAAAGAGCGTTGTGACAGGTAGGATGAAAGCCAGGAGAGAGCAGAATTTCTGAGGCCGAGGGAGTGTAGTTTTTTTGAGGAGGGGGGGGTGGTCGACTGTGTTGAAGGCCGCAGAGAGGTCAAAAAGTAGGAGCACTGAATAGTGGCCATTAGCTTTGGCGGTTAGCAGGTCGTTGGAGAGTTTGAGTAAGGCAGTTTCGGTGGAGTGTAGGGGATGGAAGCCGGACTGTAGGGGATCGAGGAGGTGGTTGAGGTGAGAGCTTAGGCGGGTGTAAACTAGGTGCATGAGGAGTTTGGATGTGAATGGGAGATGGGTCTGAGGTTGTTCGGGTCATTGGGGTTCAGGGAGGGCTTTTTAAGTACGGGGGTGATATGTGCATGCTTCAGAGGGGAGGGGAAAGTGCCAGAGGAGAGGGAGAGATTAAAGATGTGGGGCAGGTGGTGAGGTGGGCATCAGAGAGGACCTTGGAGACTTCCTCGATGGTAGTAAGGTCAAAGGTGTTGAGACCATGTCAAAAACAATATGAATATGATCAATCAACTATGTTATGTAGTAAGGGTATTTTATATACTCACTGTAAAATCCTTTTCCACAGCAGTTTAATGGGGGAAATGGCAGACCTCTATGTCTGTCTCGACGCCTGGACACTAAGCTGAAGCAGAAAGCAACAACTTCTCCTTGTGAGCTACACCCCACTGTACAGGCAGTGACACCAATCCAAAATTAATATTTGCTCTCAGCATTCATTATGGACATAGAAGACCTCTTGGGACAAAAGTAGTCCATCAATAAAAGAGATGGAATCTTAAAGCATTTCTATACTCAAATGTAAAAATGTTACATATTGCAGCTTACCAACCTCTAGATATGGTCGCTGCATTAGTTTTCTTTTGTTGATGTTTTAGATGGTGATCCTGCAAATAACACGTCCTGTCCTAGAGGGACTATGCTCACTGTGTCTATGGAGGAGGCAATATTGTCATACTGGGCTGCAAACACACCATCCTCTCTTCACCTCTGTTACATGGGACAGTTGGGTAAATTGTATAACGTGGCTTACATCAGATAGCTTGGAAGGAAGATACATACAGTAAAATATAGTAAACACGAGAACCAAGTGGGGAGTAAAGGATTTGAGAGAACAGATGCTTCAAACCGAAAAGTGAAGTAAGTACCAACCACTCACGTAGAAGGAGTCTGGTTTATGAAAAAACAGTAATGAACGCCATGTATACCATATCTGCTCCTATCACATGCAGGGGATGAAGTGAAATCTCCTTAAGATAAGGAGATGGGAAAATGGAAGAAATTATAGCTTTATTAATATAAAATGACAACAGTACTTTGAGAAGCAAATCTCAAAGAAACACCTTTTTTCTGTGGAGAATGGCAAAAGCTGGCAGACATGAATGAGCAGACAGACAATCTATGAGCAGAGATGAGCACAAATAAGGTAATTTTTGTCAATAAGGATATATAATACTTTTATAAAAAAAAAAAAAAAAAAAAACAACAAAAAGCACATTTCTTTGCAGGTTAAAAAAATAATGCATTTACTATTTTTTTTGTTTTGGGAGCCTGGAAAGCATTTCACCAGCGATCAGTAGACCGCTGGTGCCATGCAGGACTCCTGCAGACCTGTCAGTGGCTCTGTGTGCTTGTACGGGAAAGCAGGTACACACTGACAGGAGGAATCAATTAACTACCACAGCACTCAACAGCGCTGTGATTTCTACAAACTGATAGCCGCAAAGGAAACCTGTGGTTTTCCCATTCACAGAATACTGTGAATAAGTGACACGGCCAGGAAGGCAGAGCCCCACAGCCATATTTTGGGGAGATCACCCGCTAGCTTTGAAAACAGGGGATTGGGGGGTGGTTCTTTTGTAACGTGTTACACCGAGAATGGAGCAAGAGTGAACTTATCCTTTAAACTGTACATAAACACAAATGAAATGCTATAATTTGCTCCCATTAAGTCTGTAAAATATACCATTGAAAGTGTTCTGTTATACCTGTTGTTCCTGTCAGAAATCCAGTGAGCTTGCAAATCCTAGTGCACTCTGCAGTGTTATCTCAAACCATGTTATTAGCCCTGCATAGTTCACCTATGTAGACTACATAACTCCCCAATATTTTATGGTGACTAGGAGAGGCGTTGGTGTGCTGTTGTCCAAATACACTTTCTTTGCTAGAGTAACAATGCGGCTTCTCCAAAGATATAAAGTAAGTGTCACCCATGACTGGGAACTTTGTTTTGGCCATGATTACCTGGTGAAAAAAAAACAAAAAAAAAAAAAAACGCAGAGCGCGTTTCAAAAAAAACCCCCAAAAACAAACCACTACATGAGTTGCAAAGATACAGTATAAACATATGAAATATTTAAGAGCAGCCCAAACTCAAAGGGGTAGTTACACTTAGGAGCTCTATGAGACCAAGAATGGAGAGCAGCCTATTGGTCTTGCGCTGTTCAAGCAAATAGTTTGTAAAGTAGAAGAGAGTAAGAAAAGAGAAGGGAAAGGGGGAGAGGCAGGGAGGTCTAATGCTTGTAGCAGCAAGCCTCTTGTCAGCAGAGAGCACTGCTGGGTACCTGTATGGGTCATGGTCAAGGTTCCAACAATGGTTGAAGTCCTAAGGTAAATAATCGTCCACCCAAGGCTGCCAAATTTTAAAGTGTTTAGGGATTCAGTCGAGATGTGTAGCCTCTATTTTACTATGAATTATTAATTGCGTTATCCATGTTGTCTCAAGAAGCCACAGGTGGGTGATTTCCATGCCTTAGTGATGGTTTGTTTTGATGTTCTCCCTCTACAAATCTGCCTTCCTCACCTACACCCTCCTCCCTCCACGCGGCCAAGCAAGCCTACTTCGTAACCCTCATCAACACCGTCTCCTCCAATCCTCGCCAGCTCTTCTCCACTTTCAACTCCCTGCTCTCTCCCCCCCCCCCCCCACCTCCATTCAGTACCTCACTCACCGCCCACGAGATTGCCAATCATTTCCAAAACAAGATTGACGCAATCCGTAAGGACATTGTCAATTCACAATCTACCTCTCCACCTAGCCTCCATCACCCCCTCAACTCTCCCCTCCTCTGATCTCGCAACCGCACTGCCCCCCACCACACACTAACGTCCCGCACACTATAACCTCCCAAACACTCCGCTCCTTCAGCCCTGCTACCACTGAGGTCACTAAGGTCTTCACTGAAGCCCGCCTCACCACTTGCCCCCTGGACCCCTATCCCCTCACAACTCCTCCGGTCACCCCCCTCCTCCATCATTCGCTCCCTCACCCACATCTTCAATCTCTCCCTCTCTACTGGCACATTCCCCTCCCCCCTAAAGCACGCACACATCACCCCCATACTCAAAAAACCCTCCCTGGACGCCACTGACCTGAACAACCTTAGACCCATCTCCCTGCTGCCACTCACTTCCAAGCTCCTTTAGCACTTAGTCTACAAGTGCCCACCTCACTGACAACAACCTCCTTGATCCACTACAGTCTGGCTTCCGTCCCCTACACTCCACCGAAACCGCCCTACTTAAAATCACTAATGACCTGCTATCCGCCAAAGCCAACGGCCACCAGTCTGTCCTCCTACTCCTCGACCTCTCCGCGGCCTTCGCGACAGTCGACCACCCCCTCCTCCTTACTAAACTACACTCCCTTGGCATCAGGTACTCTGCTCTCTCCTGGTTCTCCTCTTACCTATCCC